AGCATCCAGATTATCATTCAAAGTTACGTTGATTAACATATATCTATTACCTGAATCAATGTCCCAAATTGCTTTATTGTATCGTTTAAGACCTAGAAATATGGCAATTCAATAGCGTATTTGGCAGAACAGTCGAGCGCAAGATGACAACGTAATATGTTTATTACAAACCAATTTGTGGATAGGGTTAAATATATAGATAATTGGATAGTGGTGAGACTTTTTATAAGAAGTAGAAATGCGAAACAATTAACTTTTTGATGATGCAATAAAAGCTGTTGGGAAGGGTACATTAACTAGTATTTAAGATATCAGGAAAATATCAAATAATTGGAGAGTTGGTGAGTTAATGTAATTTTGGATGATCTTTCCAACAGTCCATCAATATTGCTAGCTACCATAAATTCATGATTTCAGCTGTATTTGACAGTTTGTATATATTTGCAGAATGGATTGAGACACGATGTAGGTCTATTAAAATAGCCCTTTATATTCAATTTTGTCCAAAGTTGCTCCATTTCGGCCACACCTCTACACACATTGTGCTATCTACCTTTGGCTGTGATTGCGTTCAGCTTCAGATATAAAGCAACACTGAGTCGCGGACTGCGTTGGGCAGATGGATGGACTGCGACTATTATAAATTCCAATTTCCTATGTAATTGTACGTTTTCCGCTTACCAAATATCACACGAAGATGTAATTGTAACAACAGAACATGAATAATTATATTAATTCGATGTCATTTCTGATTCCTTTGTTTAAATCGGTATATTAGGGACAAATATTGACAAAATTACATTTTTTGTGGCAGATTTCGAATTCATTTGTGTTCATGCTAAACTATTGGACAGCCGAGCACCAAGAATGCCATTGCAGATGGAGTATGAATATGTTGATCACCGACTGGAACATACTAGCTATTCTGTAATATATCCAAACCAATAATCTTCCCCAAATCCTAACATGCCTTCCAAAATAAGTTTGGACTTACCGCCATTGTTCAGCTATAATGCGTTGTAACCTCGTTTTGAATTACGCGAGTCGCAGTCCGTGGCTTCGCCCTCGTTTTGCTTATCCCCCGTGAAATAACTCAAATAAACATTATGCAATGCCGGCTTTATTTTATGACGAGAAAGATGTCCGATCTAGAAATAAAGGCATATGGGTACATAAATTCATCCATAATTAAGCATACATTGAGATAGAATAATGTTTAAAAAATCTAAAGATTTAACTCTTTAAAGACTGGGTCAGGACCCACGCACGTGGGTACGAGGGTACGTGGGTAGGAGGTTTTTTATACAAAGCCGTAATAATACAGTATAACCTGTCTAATCTGAATGCCATTGGGTATAGCTCAAAGTGTTCTGATTGGCAGATGTTCACATTTCGAGGTATTTAACATGGAAGTATGGGAATTCAAACAAGTTAAGATGCAAAATGTCACCACCTGCCATTTGTTCGGATGCCAAACACTGACTGCTGTACACCATCCACAAAAAATTTTGAGACTAACAATATGTCACAACTTGAACTGGTGACTTAAAGAATGGAATTGACTAAAAGTGATCACATTGAGTGGTGTTCAGATTAGAGAGGTGTTCTGATATACAGGTATTCTTGTATTTGGTTACTACATGTAGCTCCACTTCAGCGGTAAGGGACTGGGTCAATATTTCAATGTCCATCAAAAAAACAAAATTAATTTAGTTAGGGTCTTAACCCCCTCCCCCTTCTAACGAAAGGCAAATTGTTGATTCATGCACGCTGTATAAGAGTAACAATGTTGATTTGCATGCAGTGTTCAAGTACAATCCACAGCATACAATATCTGCTACTGCTATAAACAACACATTTAAAATTCACTGTAGACATATCTGTTGAGTATGTCGGTCACCTAATTGAATAGTGTTTTACCCCCTCCCCTAACATAATTAATTACTAGTATGTCTTTTGACAGACATTGAATTATTGACCCGGCCCCTAAGAAGATATGGCCATCTAATGGATATGCATACAGCATTGCATATCTGTTTGCCAAATACTAAAATATGACTGTAGATTCTTACAGTGAGTCTAGCCACAGTATACTGTATGCTACCATAAGATGTAGAACTGTATGATACTGCAAACACTGTGTGGCACGATACTCAAATGATACCATAATTTCAGAGTGTGGATTGGGAGTTTATACAACAGATCTAGTATCTCATTGACATTTGGATTGAGATTTTCATTGTGCTATTTTTATTGTATTGTGCTGATGGATGGATGGCTGTGTGCACATTAATCTTGTCATCAAAATTCCAGGGGAACTAATCCATTCAGCTTGAAATTTTTACAGATGCAACATCTGATTTGGTTTTGGGCGATTTTATCATTATTTGGATATTTTGGCCTAGCCTAATTCATTTTTGTAGGATATTGTTGTACCTTAAAATATATAAATATCCTTAGTTATTACAAACAAATATAGGAAAATATTTTCTTTGTATATTTATTTGTGTATAATCTATAATATATTAAATATAAACATATACTCTCAAGTCTCAACAATACATGCAGTCATTTATGCCCTTGCAAATAAAATTTACAATGTAGTCATTTATGCCCTTCCTAGCAAATAAAATATACAATGTAGTCATGTATGCCCTTACAAATCAACTAAACAATGTACAAGTATTATTACCACCTTGCCAGGCCTGTTCTAGGGGTATTAGTGCTAGTTTAGAAGGCATTTATTTTGATATATCGACCTGAGCAATATGTGACGTCATAGTGGCGGGCCATAGTGGCAGGCCAATAATGCATTAACGCCAGGCAATTTTCCATGCGAAATTAGATATCGTTCAGTCTGTCAGTGGTAAGATTTTCTTGCTATTTCAGCCCTGGGCATTAATGGTGGTAATAATACTAATAACGTCATTTCGAAGGGCAATATAGTGAATTTGACATTTGACCTGGGGTATATTCGCGAAAAATGCCCCTGATAATACGTGTGATGTGTTACATCATAACGGCGGACCGTAGTAATAGCGGACCATAATGAAAATTCAAAACATTTAAGTCAGTTTTCATGTTAGAATCATAATATAGACCTCAGAGCAGGTATAATATCGTCGAATACACCCCTTAGGGCTAGGCACAAAAGCTCTCGAACCCCGCACTCCCTTCAGTCGTTCAAGTTGTGCCTAGCCCTGTGGGGTGTATTCGACGATATACCCCTGCTCTTTGGTCTATATTTCTTAAATATTGGACCGAGGGCCAATATTTCACTATAATATTGCCCTTCGAAATGACGTTATTGTACTATTAATCTATGCCCTTGCAAATAAAATATACAATGTAGTTATCTATGCCCTAGCAAATAATGAATTTTTGAAAAATAAAGCCATACAAACAGTTTGCCTGAACCTAAAGTGTGTGTCATTTTATTGGCAGCTATTTATGGATGTGTTTTGTTATTTCAACTGTTGAATATTATAAACTCTGAACAGGAATACAATATGAATAAACAATTATATTTTCTTTTTTATTTCTTTTTCACCTTCCATCCTCCTAAGATTTAGCCTCTCGAGATGATATTTAAATATATTATTAACTTTGAATGGCCTTATGGCCTTAAATTGAACTGAAATGTAAATATCATATCAGTTTATTAATAATGCTTGTTATGTTACTATTTTCTACCTATACTGATACCAATCAATAATAAAGATTGCACATACAAAAGCTGCTTATATTTTATGAGAGCAGCAAATCTAAATTCTCACGCAGCTACAGTTACACAGTACTAGAAAGATAGCTTTTTAAAATGAATTATAATTCTAGGACCATGATATACTTAGATTACAAATTGTTCTGAATAAAATATAATAAAATTGTTCTGAATATTAAAATGTCATGGCCATTAACACAGAAGAAATAACATACGTAAAATATTTTTAAAAAGTAGAGTTAAATGGACATAACATGATAAAACAATAAAGTACATTTAATCTACTTAACACCGATGCCACGTTTAAGTGTTCAATAAAAAAATTATCACAGAGTTAAAACAATTAATGAGATTTAGAACTATTTACAATTATATAACTACTGTACTTCTACCACCAAATGTTCAAAACATTAAATCCACTAAAATAAGTAGCGCCAAATTAATAAGTAGAAGAACAGTATAAACGTAGTTAATAAACTAATATTGCTATTAAATAGCAATACACATTTGGTATAAAATGCTTGTCATGTATGTGTATCAATAAATCTTGGAATAATTTGACTGCATTAATAAATAAATAGAATTTACATTATAAAACATTATAAACATTACATTACATTATAAACAGGTCAATTACTCATTAAAGGATTGGTTTATACATGTAGTGTGAAATGATTGGTTTATCCATTTGTCTAAATCAATGTAACAAGTATTATCCAGAGCTTTATTCAATTCTGAGTGGCTCCTGAATATGTGGAACTAAGGGTGTAACCATTACTCTGAGCCCTTCATAAAGCTTGACGATGTAGAATTTAAATTTAAACCAATATGAGTCGAGCAATCAGTTTAACCAACATGAACCACGATTTTAACTAACATTTTACCTTGGTTTAATTCTTATTAATTAACACACAATCAAACCTGTGAAGTGGAACACCTCTTGAAGTGGAACTTCAACTTCCCTGTGATTGGAACACTCTTCAGTCCCAAGACCAATTGACTTGATGTTAAATTGCCCTCTACAAATGGAGCACTTTTTAGAGGTACCAAAAGTGTTCAAATTAGACAGGTTCTACTGCATATCAAATCAATAAATCATAACACTACATTTTCAGTTGATAAGTAGCTGACATTCATTTTACATTCAAACTCCCATGATAACTGCCATAAAATTTTAGATCATTAAGATTGTATTTCATGTTCAATACTGTTATTTGGTCAAATAATGATCATCTGATTTTATTCATCAAACATACTCAGTTTTGGTAGGCTTGTCTAATTTGTTTAACATACATACTCAGTTTTGGTAGGCTCATCTGATTTTGTTAAGACAAAAAACATATGATGGGTGCTCTTCCAGCTCAATTTTGAGGGAAAATTTTTTGTAAAATTCAAGATAAATCTTATTTTTTTTGGCTTGTTTAAGCCACAATCACACCCCCCTGACTGAAAACCATAATTCTATCGGCGATCACACACCCCCTGACTGAAAGCTAGCTACGCCCCTGTACATGTACTAGTACTCAGTTTTGGTAGACTCATCTGTTTTCGTTTTACAAACATGCTCAGTTTTGGTAGGCTCATCTGAATTTGTTTTACAAACATACTCAGATTTGGTAGGCTTGACATCCTAAGTTCTGGTTTTGGTAGGCTTGCCTGATTGTGTTTTGTTAGACGGTCAGACACAATACTGGTAGGCTCATCCAATCTTCATAAACAGACATACCTCATCATGGTACTGGAAGGCTAGTCTGGTTTTGTTCAACAGACACACATGATGGTATTCATACATCCAATCTTGATAAAGAGACATATAGCATGGTACTTGTAGGCTATGATCTGATTGGGGTTCTTGATTCTACGCATGTGTTTTAGTCAGGCATATTTGGAACTGGTATACTCATTTTATGCACCTGCATCATATGTCTCTTTAATTTCCTCCTGGAAATACAGTCAAATAAAAAGTTATATTATATCAGATTAATTCAAATAATCAATACGGCCCTACAAGTTTTGTATGCAAAAATCCAGCAAATGCACAAAAAATTAACAATTGTATGATCTTTGTTTCACTATGAATTACTTGATAAGACAGTCGTCATACATTTAATTAATTAAAAAGGTAAATAAGGTTAAATATACAGTATCTTGGTCTTGTGCGTCAGAGCTTTCCATATCTCACATTAAATGATCATTATATATTCCCAGGTGTATAAAAACAATGTAGAAATATACTTTTACAATCATTGATATAAAAGAAAGCCATTAGAAAAGGATTGATGTATTGTTATATAGCCATGTTAATTTTTTATAAGATTTCCATTCTACATATACCTTTACTTTGAGTTTCAATACAATACATCAAATAAAAATAACTGAAGTTGAGCAATGAATTTAAGGTGCATGTTTTGAAGTTCACTCTGAACAAATCCAGGACATGTTTGGTGAAAAAAATATTTTGATATGTCATTTTTTCATAGGGTGACTGAAATGAGAAAATTACATATTTTCGATAATTGTGCCAGAATCTTTAAAGCATCAGGCCTAAGATTTATTTACATAAATCTTGAATTCAGAAATTATTTTTGTTGACTCATTTTCTAAGTCATTTAAGTATACATTATGTACATAAAATGTGAATGTGTAATTAGTCACAATATTAATGTCTTCCTAATTTTAATGTCACAATTTTCTGTCAGGACGATATAAAAAATCTTACGAAGAAATTAAAAATTGAGTGAGAAAGTAACAACTTTTGGATCATGAAGCTGTCCCTATAACTAGAATACTTTACATCCTGGATATGATACAACAATTGACTAATTAAAAACTAGAAAAACAGCAACTTCACGGAGTAGCAAATCCCAATCAATCATTGATGACCATGCAAAATTGCATGGAGTTAAACCTGCACATCGCTCCAAAACGCAATCTTGGGTTGTTTCGGGGGTGAACTTTATCATTTTGAGCTTAATGAAAGATTATAGAATGATGAACAAATGGGGCAAGTCTTGTGTAGAAATACTTACGATAAATGTGTCATTTCAAAGATTTTTCATTGAATTGCTTCGATCGGCGCCGACGATATGATTTTGGAAAGGTTTCTAAATGAAGAACGTGACGTCACTTCCGAATCATAGCATTCAAAATAAGTAGCTTTTAATTACTTCCACCATTCATAAAACACGGTGGTGTAGCGGTAGAATTCTCGCTTAGCATGCGGGAGGCCCGGGTTCGAATCCCGCATTCGCCGTTTTATTTTTTTAACTTAATGATTGTTCTTTGATATAACGCAGAAAATTTTTTTTTATTTACATGAACTTTATATTAGAGCTTAAAAATGTAAAAACAATATATGTCAACATATTGCGTTTTGGAGCGATGTGCAGGTTTAATATTTTGCTGATACTCGCTACTACATTTTTTATAAGTCCAATCTCAACAATTAACTAATAACCATCACCTAGGGTAGCAAGAATGACAGAAAGTTAACCAATTATTGAAAGAACATTATAACATATTTGTTAAAATAATAAATAGGTGTTATAAATACCTATTTATTGGCATTCAACTTTCATTGATTTAATGCTCATTAAACAAACTTTCATCGAATGCATATTTATTAAACCAAAGTTAACCAATTATTACATGAGGATTGCTATTTCTTTTTACTTAGGATCTTGAAAGCATCAGCATATAAAATTTGAACCAAAACCATCATCTAGTCTTTGAGTTATCAAAAAATGGTGGCCATTTTGAATTAAACTGCCATATTGAAAATTCCTTCTCGAGCAGAGGTCCTACACTCATAAGGCATAAGCCTTTAAAATTTTAATCCTTCAACTGGTATTTGAGTTATCAACCGGACACACGAATGGACTGACGGACGGCTGTATTAGCTTCTCTATATCCCCGTCGAACTTTGTTCAGTAAGATAATTATTGACTTTTTATTAACCATATAATTAATCTGATACAGTATTTGTTTAATCATGATATAGCTCATGAATAACTGCTTGAAAACATATCAGTATTGTGTACACAAAGTGCATATTGAAAATTTAGTATATAGGGTCTTGTATGTGTTAAGGTTCGAAAAGAATAGTGATTTGATTTATTAATTTCAATAAAACAAATGCAATAACAAAGAAAATCATTTCATATATTTCGGTTTAACAGTATTAGTATGGCCTATATCAGATTTCATTGGTACTGATTTAGCAACTGACTTTTGCAATTTCTCAGTTTGCTATATACATCTTCTGGAAACAAGCTACTTTAAACATTAATATTTCCTATATATATTTATAACAATGTACTCCACAAATGATTATTTATTTTATTTCCCTACGTACATATGCTGGACTTACACTGCACAACAATAAAAAATATCAGAATAGAACAATGTTGACAACTGAAAAAAGGTGAGTGTACATTGAAAGGCAAACATTTGCAGGATGGAAATCTTGATAAAAGTAACTGTGCTGATGTTTTTGATTCATATTGCTGAAGCTGGGCAGAAGAAAAACAAGCAGGTACTAGGACCAGAGCTATGTAAAGAAGAATTATCTGCAGCAATAAACAAATTTGGGATTGATATGTATATGGAGTTATCTGCAAGCCATCCAGGTGAAAATGTCTTCTTCAGTCCAATTAGCATTACAACTGCTTTGTCTATGTTGATGCTTGGAGCCAAAGGGGAGACAAAATCTCAAATGGAGGAGGTGCTCTATACAACTGAGCTTCAAAGATGTCTTCATGAAACATACAATTTTTGGGAAAAAAATCTTTACGGAGGCGAAGACGGACCAGTTCTTGAATCAGCTAACAAGCTATATACTGATCAGACTTTAGATGCAAATAGACGTTTTGTAAAAGATATAGCAAAATATTATGATGCCAGTGTCCAGAAACTTGATTTCAAAGATCATTCAGATGCAAGCCGCAATACTATAAATGATTGGGTCTCAGATCAGACCAGTCAAATGATACAAAATGTGCTAGAGAAAGGTTCAATTGACCAAAATACAGTCATGGTGCTAATTAATGCTATTTACTTCAAAGGCAACTGGCTCAACCAGTTTGACATATCAGATACATCTGTCGAGAGTTTCACAACTGAAACTGGTAAAGTAGTCAATGTGAACATGATGTATCAAGAAGATCTGTTTAACCATTACTATGACAATGACCTCAAAGCACAGTTCCTGGAATTACCATATGAAGTAGGAACAAAGAACAGTGTGGACATTCGCATGGTTATCATTCTTCCAGAAGGAAAAGATGGCATCCTTGAACTTCAAGAGAAACTAACAGCTGAAATGCTTTCAAAAGCTTTGGGTAATAATGAGATTTTCAATACAGCATACTTTTTAAAATAATGCATTGCAGTTAGTTCATCAAATAACATCTTTATGAGACTGTAATTTGTGATTCCTGTTTCTCAAATATCTTTATTGAAGTATGGATATAGTTTTTCACAAAATTATGAGTAAATCAAGACTTTTACATTCATAATGTTTTTTTTCAACAACAACTAATTTGTTAATTTACTCAGAGAATTGATGATTACACCACAGGGCAATTTTATTGCTTCATAGTTTCGAATGATACCTATATGTTTCTAATGTACTTTTTCATAACACTGTAGAAACATGTTTTTGAGGGTTGTACTTGGCTGTTTATATTTTATTGTCCTGATATTCTGAATTAAATATATTCAACTATAATGAACATCCCATGAACAAAATCCGCCCTATTACTGCTTCATCCATGTATTTTTCTAAACTTATTTTTTATTTTAGATGAGCTCCAGTATTGGCCAACACCTACATATTTACATGTACCAAGATTTGAATTCAAGGAAAAATACCCGCTTCATTCCATTCTGGAAGCTATGGGAATGGACGAGTTGTTCTCTGCAAGTGTTAATCTGGATGGTTTCAGTACTGATCCCAGAGTGGATGTCTCTACTGTTGTACATGAGGCAGCAGTGGTTATCAATGAAAATGGTAATTTAGAATCATGTTTGTTGTTAAATGCAGTCAACTTAAAAAATGGCAATCACATACTTTGGAACTTTCTATTTTTTTGATTTTGCAGATTATCTAAAATATGAAGTGTACAGTTTGATTTTTTATATTAACCAGAAATGTGCTTGGTTTCAAGACATTGTGAAATAAAATACATGTGAATGTGTAATGTTGAAAAGATGTTCAGTATGAATAAAATGTCCCTTGATGTATTGTCCTGAATTGTAATAGCTCAGAATTTGAATGGTGAAAAGGGTGTTTCAGACATTATTTTTTTCAGATAAGATTAGTGTTTGGGATAGTTGGGGTTTGTTTCGTTTGTTAAGTATGCTGTATGCTTAGATGTTTTCTTTTTCCTGCTGTGTTCTGTAACATTTTTGATCCTTTCCCTTTTTTAAATTTCAAAAAATGGCAACATTTTCCACATAACATAAGTACTAACCAGTCTTATTCACTTTTAAATATCTTATTCTGTGTCAATAAAAAATATTTACTCTTCAGAAAAAGGCTCAAGTAAATGCAAAAGCCTCATTCTGGAGCAGGTATATAAAAATAAAGTGTAGAAAATATTTCCACTTCAAAACGAGTGCCACTCATCTCCCAACGATCAGTAAGCATTATAAAGAGATAACAAATGATATGTTATGTCATGTGAGGTATATTCAATCAAGCACAGAATGATAAACATGACAGTGAGATACAAAATGCCCTTTCATCCAAATCTCATTAAGAGACCCATTTTAATGTTAGATTTGATGTAGCCTGTTATGCTTTTTTACAGGTACTGAAGCTTCTGCAGTGACAGTCATAGGAGGAGGGAGATCGGGTTATATTCCTGATCCTGCAACTGTCAAATGTGACCGACCATTCCTGTTCCTCATCAGGGAGGTGAAAGAGGAAGTGAGTGGATGGGCAATGAAAACTATTCCTGGACCAATACTATTCTTTGGAAAAGTGTCTGAGCCTGTAGAGGCAAAGGATGCTATATGTAATGGTAATATACTACAAATATATTACAATCTGTTGAAATGGAAGCAAAATATGTAAATACTGATTTTGTTGATTTAACCCTTTTAAAAAGGGGGCTCTTAAATAATTATACTCTAGAATGGTTAAATAATGTAAAGGCAAAACCTAAATTAAGAACATATGCAACATTCAAGACAGACTTTAAAGCAGAAAAATATCTTTCACTTAATTTTACAAAATTTGAGCGGAGCCTTTCGGCTCAGTTAAGATTAGGAATTTTACCCCTGCACATAGAAACAGGGCGATTTAGAGGAGAAAAAGTTGAAAATAGAATTTGTACTTTATGTAACAATAATGAGGTTGAATCAGAGGCCCATTTCCTATTTTATTGTGAGGTATATAAGGACCTTCGGGAGAAATATTTTGGTAATTTGAATCATCATGTACAGCCTGATGGCTTAAGAATTAAATATCTTTTTGAAAATGAGACTTGTAAAATTGTTAAATATATTAGAGAGGCATATGTAAGAAGACAGCAGCTGATTTATAAGGATCCATGAACCTGTAACTTATATTTATATTTTGAATTTGTTATTAAATGTTATTTGAAGTGGTTAATAAGCCCAAGGTGGGCTGGGTTGTTTTACATAAACTTATTTTGTTTGACTTTGTTGTATAGACTTACCACTATAAATAAAAAATAAAAACAAACAAACAAACATATACTATTTATCACGCATCTAACTTTACCTTGTTTTCTTTTACTTTTCATTAACCCTGTCAACATTTGTGTGATTTTATATTTATAGCGGAAGACCTAAACAATTGCAGAGATATGTGCAGGTTGAATTGCTTTGAAGCAAATAAGAGACTCACAAACAAATCAAGGAAGAAGAATTGCCCAACCTGGGTTGGGTTGTTTGAAAAATACAGAAATTGCAAGACTGATTGCCGCAAAGACAAATGTGTGCAAAATTGTTAAATGATTATCAGTATATCAGAATAAAGAATTTTAAAGCATACATTATTACAAATGTTGTAAATGCCAGGGGTAGTAATACAAAAGACACAAAATGATGATTGGACAAAGAGTTCTAATTCACAAAGGGGTCTTGTGATAAGAACCTCTATTCAAAGAGTCAACAAATGAAACCAACTTAGGAAACATCATATTCAAATGTGATTGTCCATACATCCATGACAGATATACAAGATAATTTCTTAAAAAAACAAGATCTATTAAATTGATATTTCTAATAAGACCTTCAATTTAACCACTCATTATCAATCAAACATACATTATACATTATCTATTTATTCCCTACGCACTAATGCTGAACAAACCATACAATAAACAATACCAAAACAACAAGGAGCAATTAAATAAATTGATACAAAATGGTAATAGGAAACATTTCTTGTATATTAATACATATGAATATAAAAGAAATAGAAGTTAAAGGAGTTTATTGAGAGTCAACATCCTGGAGTATGGAAATTATGGTAAAACTAACAGCTCTCTTACTTTTGATTCAAGTTTCTCTTGGAGAGAAATATGTTTCAGAGCTATGTCGAGAAGAACTATCAGCAGCAATAAACAAATTTGGGATTGATATATACATGAAGATATCTGCAAGCCATCCAAATGAAAATGTCTTCTTCAGTCCAATCAGCATTACAACTGCTTTGTCTATGTTGATGCTTGGCGCCAAAGGGAAGACAAAATCTCAAATGGAGGAGGTGCTCTATACAACTGATCTAAAAAATTGTCTTCACGAGACGTACCAATTTTTTGAGAAAAATCTTTATGGAAGTGAAGGAGGACCAGTCCTTGAATCGGCAAACCGTTTATATCCTGATCAGACTTTAGATGTGATTGACAGTTTTGAGGAAGATATAGCAAAATATTATAATGCTACTGTTCAGAGGCTTGATTATAAAGATTCAGATGCAAGTAGGAGGATTATAAATGACTGGGTATCGCAACAGACAAATAGAATGATTCAAAATGTGCTACAGGAAGGTTCAATTGATCAAAATACAGTCATGGTGCTAATTAATGCTATTTACTTCAAAGGCAACTGGCTCAACCAGTTTGACATATCAGATACATCTGTCGAGAGTTTCATAACTGAAACAGGTGAAGAAATCAATGTTAACATGATGTATCAAGAAGATCTATTTTATCATTACTATGACAATGACTTGAAGGCACAATTTCTTGAACTACCATATGAAGTAGGTAAAAATGATGGAAGTGTTGACATCCGCATGGTTATTATTCTCCCAGATGAAGATTTTGCAATCACTGAACTTGAAAAGGAACTCACAGATGACAACCTGGCAAAAGCTTTAGGTATGTTACAAGGTTTCTTAGTTTTCATTTGCACCTACTAATTATAATTCAAGATTCAAATATATGAATAGTGTTGGTATACTGAGGGAAAATGTCAGCCAGATTGATTGAGAAACCAAAAAATTAGAGTACTTTTGCAAGAACTTTATGAACGGCCTGTACCTGTAACGTTAATTCAATTACCATATAGAAAGTCATTGACTAGTTTTTCACACCAGGAATCAGCCGACAGGAATGGGGAGTTAATAAAACAAAATAAATTGTATTTTTACTACTTACCTGTTTTTTTTTGTCATTACAATTGCTCTCATTGCAAGCATACAGCTTGGTGATTTTAAATACTGTAGTTTTCATGTATATCAAACCCTGAACTGAGTAATAAATATGTTACAAATGTGCAAACTGCAGCTATATCAAAAGACGATCAAGCAACTTAATGATATTATGACATCTATCTGATCAGATAGATTGTATTAAGAAGTATTTCAAGAGTTTCATCAGTTTTACTCCTTGCAATCCTAGTCATTTTACATTATCAATAGATGCACCATTTTAAACATTTCAAGTCATTATGCCTGAGTTTAAAAAAATCCACAGTGACTCTGCTTTTGATGAATGGGATGAAATGCCATTGGTCAAAATGAAAAAAGCAAGAAATGTTCTTGTTTCAAACAATTTGACTATATGTTTCAAACATTACAATTGATTTGCCTAAAAAACAAAGACAGATTCATTTTCCACCTCAAACAATGCTTATGTCTGATTGTCTGTTGCATGCATTTCATGTTTTTCTTATAGATGAGCTCCAGTATTGGCCAACACCAACATATTTACATGTACCAAGATTTGACTTCAAGGAGAAATATCAGCTTCACTCTATTCTGGAAGAGATGGGAATGGACGAGTTGTTCTCTGCAAGTGTCAATCTAAATGGTTTCAGTACTGATCCCAGAGTGGATGTCTCAACTGTTATACATGAGGCAGCTGTTGTTGTCAATGAAAATGGTGATGTAAATGTTTTACTCAATTCTACACACAATTCATTTTGCTACTGCATTAACATACTTTTAGAAGAACAAGTTGACCCCTTGTCAAAGTGATTAGGAAAAGTATGATCTACATCTCATGTTTTTTTCAGAAATTGTTAATATCTCGATAAGTTCCATTGCATAAGATATTTTCTGGACATTTCCCCTTATTTTCTATATGCAGTAGACATGTCCTTATCAAATCCGTATCAAAAATTAGGGTTGGTAGCATTGGACTATGCACTGTTATATTTCTTACTTATTTATAACTTCTAAATAGTTTTGTATTAGTTAGTTAAAATCACATAGTCCTGCATGCATATTTTTGCATATACACGTAATATGCATTTTAAGATAGTTGTGATGCTTTCTGACTGCATATACAAAAATTGAAATTTTAACACAAGATTTAATGAAGCCTTTGCAACTTTTTACAGGTACTGAAGCTTCTGCAGTGACAGTCATAGGAGGAGGGAGATCAGGTTATATTCCTGATCCTGCAACTGTTGAATGTGACAGGCCATTCCTGTTCCTCATCAGGGAGGTGAAAGAGGTAGTGAGTGGATGGTCAACAAAAACAATTCCTGGACCAATTTTATTCTTTGGAAAGGTTTCTGTGCCGGAGAAGACCAAGAATCCTAAATGTAATGGTAAAGTATTTTGATTAATCTGCCCGGAAATATATTTCGAACTTACTTACTGTAATGGTACAAGTGTATGTTACTGATTGGGGGAGGCAAAGTTCTACTTTTCTTGATGCTAGAATCACTGACATAGGAGTGACAAATTGACAAGGGACGAAGATGATATAATAAGCAAAGCAACATTTATCTTTTTCAAAGATATATCAAAGTAAATCAGAAGCTTAAAATTCTGAAATTAAGTCAATTTCTGAACTTGTTCATAGCTGTCTGTGATCTTCAAAATGTGTGATATTCCATGATGCAATAATTTAAAAATATTTTTCATTAAATTATAGGAAAAAAATTGCGTAGATGCAGGGAGAACTGTAGGCCAAAATGCTTTGAAGCTAACAAGAAGTTCCCAAGTCCTAGGAATAAATGTCCTTCCTGGGTTGGCTTAATGAAAAAATACAAAAAATGCAAGGCTGTTTGTCGTCAGAAGCAGTGTGTGCAAAATTGTTAAACCATATGTTTTGTGGCACCTGCCCAAGAACACGCACACAAGCATGCACACCATCGGCACAAGGTGACAACAATATAACACGGAAAAAGTGGGATAAAAAGACTAGGATCAGAATATAAATTTGAACTAAGAAATGACAATGTTAGTGTACTACTAACTGTAGATTGTTTTAATTTTGCGGATTTGACGGGTTGATACATCACGGCTCTACTAATTTTTTTAAATCCCTGGGACCTTAACTCTTAGCCCTTGGATCTTAAGTAGCATTATGAATTCTTTCAATACTTTGATTGTTATCTCATTTTCATTACATTTTAGCTCTTAACTATGGGTCAATCTGCCAAATTAAATGGCATCCAAAATTTCAGAATTTGCCCAATCTGCCAGTATTTTTGCCTAAAATATATAATTTACAATATATGGTGAATGTATCGGGTGTTTGATTATATTGTACATCATTTACAAATCAAATAAATCTGGCCATAGTTACATCCTCATTTGGTCTCGTATCATTGGCATAAAAACCTAAAGAAAAAGAAAAGGAGGTTTCATTTGACGAGAAGAATACAGGATCGAAACAATTTTTCACATTACTATTTCAGGCTGCCATCTACTAAGCATTGACTAACTTGTAATAAAATTGGCCTTTTCCTGGCATACGCTGATAAGCATACTAGAATGAAGACATGTTATTAAAATACACTGTAATTTCCCAGGTCGTTCAATAAGTCCATGCAAAAACATTCTAATTTTTTTTATTTTTCAATGTTTTTCCTTGAAACTTTCACAAATCATAGAAAGAATACCTACTCATTGAAAAAAAAATTACTTTGTTTTGATTGGTCAAAGGTTATGGTTGCTATGGTAATTGGTAACCCGTGTTTAGGTCAGCCAGGCAATTTATGACGTGAAAAAAGTTTAACTTTAATTGAACTCTTGTAATTTATTAGTTGCACATTAGGTACACTCAATAAAATATTGTATTTATACATTGAAGTTCCTAACAAGCATGTCACTTCATTAATGCTCAAAATATTCTACTTTATATACTGGATGCATAGTTCCTGGCCATTCATCCATTCTTCATATTGAGCCCTAAAGCCACATTGTCAAGGGAATTTAGTGCGCATTTGCACTCTGCACTGCTGCAGTGAAGTCTATCATGCTTGCATAATGATCACCTCTCAGTTCATCTTTCATCCTATTGAACACCCCAAAGTCCAATACAGCCTCATCAGGGGAGTATGCAGCCTGGTCTAAAATCTCCATCTGTAGGGTATCTCGGGTGGTATCCTGAACCATATTTGCTTGATGACATGGGGCATTATCTTGGTGAAATAGCTTGGAGAAGGGCGTAATTTCAGGCTGTTTCTTTTGTAGAGGTCACTTAAGGTGGCACACTAAATTCCTTTGTGGCTTTAGGGCTCAATACGAAGAATGTGTGAAATGCCAGGAACTATGCATTTAATGAAGTGACATGCTTGATAGGAACTTCAATTTGAAAAGACAATGTTTTATAGAGTGTACCTAATGTGCAACTAATAAATAACAAGAATTCAATTTAAATTAAACTCTTTTCACGTCATAAATTGCCCCACGTGACCAAAACACGGTTTACCAATTACCATTGCAACCATAATTTTTGACCAATCAGAACAAAGTAATTCTTTTTTTTTCAATGAGTAGGTATTTTTCTATGATTTGTGAGGAAAACATTGAAAAATAAAAAAAGTTAGAATGTTTTTGCATGAATTTATTGAACCTGGTAAAATAATATTTATTAGGTCAAATGGACATGTAATATCACAAGAACACATTCTGTTCAATATTTCCTACACTTAGATCTTGCTAAGTACAACATGATATATTTTATAGGTCATTACGCACGTATGCTGTATAAACAACTTATAAACAATAAAACAGTATAAATAACATCCTGCTGATGTTAAATATATTCCTGTATATGCTTTGCAAAACATTTCATTTTAATAATAGGAAAGACGCAAAACTAAGTAAAGCAACTGGATGTTAAATTTGAGCAAATTAACAACTCATGATATGAAAAGCTTACTGAAACTAACTGTAATGCTTTGGATTCAAAGTTCCCTATCTGGGAGGAACAATGTGGCACATGCGGCACTATGTAAAGAAGAATTATCAGCAGCAATAAACAAATTTGGGATTGATATGTATATGGAGTTATCTGCAAGCCATCCAAATGAAAATGTCTTCTTCAGTCCAATTAGCATTACAACTGCTTTGTCTATGTTGATGCTTGGAGCCAAAGGGAAGACAAAATCTCAAATGGAGGATGTACTCTATACAACCGGTCTGAAGAAATGTCTTCACGACACATACCAATTTTTTGATAAAAATCTTTATGGAGGCGTAGGAGGACCAATTCTTGAGTCAGCTAACAAGCTATATCCTGATCAGACTTTAGTTGTAAATGGGCGTTTTAAAAGAGACATAGCCAAATATTATAATGCCACTGTTGAGGGGCTTGATTACAGAGATGCAGCTGCAAGCCGTGCAATCATAAACGCCTGGGTGTCAAAGCAGACCAACACAATGATACCAAGTGTGCTACATCCAAGTTCAATTAATTCAATTACAGTCATGGTGCTAATTAATGCTATTTACTTCAAAGGCAACTGGCTCAACAAGTTTGACATATCCGATACATCTGTTGAGAGTTTCACAACTGAATCTGGTGGCAAAATCAATGTTAACATGATGTATCAAGAAGATCTGTTTAACCATTACTACGATAATGATCTCAAAGCACAATTTCTTGAACTGCCGTATGTAGTAGGAAAAAATGATGGAAGTGTAGACATTCGCATGGTTATTATTCTCCCAGATGCCAAAGATGCTATTAATGACCTTCAAAACAAACTCACACACGAAAAACTTGCGAAAGCTTTAGGTATGTTATGAATCTTTTAATGAACGATCACTAGGTCAATTTTAATGTCTTAGACCACCACACTCTTAATGATCACTTATAATTAGGTGAACTCTAAAATTCAACATTTTTTCTCTCTGACCAATTGTACCTGTAGATAAAATATGGAATTTCATTTTTCATTTTATAACTATGATATCGAGAGAACTAAGTACAAATCCAATGAGGGTTTCATAGATGTTTCATTTCATTCCAAAGATGATATGGTAGCAAGAGCAAAAGACAGTGTTAGTTTGGTTTACTAAAAAATCATGTAAAAATACATACAGGGTGGTCCAAAAAAATGGGACACTCGTATTTCAAAAATATTGATTTTCTTGACGAAAACGTGTCATATTATATACCAACGGATAGGGAATTTATTATAATGTCTGTCAACCAACGTCCATAATATAAATAAATGATGTCATTTTCATTTCAAAACGGGTTTTCCAAAACTTGCAAAAACAAAGTTTTATTATTTTAAATAAATGATGTACCAAATTAAAGATGAGTAAATTCCCTATCCATTGGTATATAATATGATATGTTTCAACCAAGAAAATAAATATTTATTTTTGAAAGTGTGATGAGTGTCCCATTTTTTTGGACCACCCTGTATATATTTTTCAAATTAATTGTATCTAGTCAAACGATAACCATTGCATTGACGATGCGTTATTTTTCAGATTTTTTTGATTACTCTTTTAAGAGAATTTAGTTCACCAAATCACGAGAGTGACTTGACTGGCATGATCCAGTGTACTCTAATCCCAAGACTTCTATATCATATACCCCAGCTGGCATTTCGTCTGTTGTACTAATGAAACATAGGCTGCCCTGTCAACCCTCACGCATTAGGTACGATTGTCAAAAATTTATGCTAAAATGTCACGGAAATCACGCATTATGTTGATATTTAAAAAATCTGCTTTTTACAAGCTGATACGGTAAAAAACGAATGCCAAAAAAAAACGATCGCATTCCGTTCGGACTTTTCATGCGAATTCTGTATATGTCACGCATTTGGATTGAAACATGAGTATATGTCATGCACTTGCTTCGAAATTTTTGAAGGAAGGTGTTCTACATTTGTAAGTCCCTCATATTCGATGTTCCCAAGTTGACAGGGCTGCATAAGTGAAGATCTTGAGAGAAAGGAATATGATGGTGAATTATAACATGTAATATGCAATTAAATATTCAGATGAGCTCCAGTATTGGCCTACACCTACATATTTACATGTGCCAAGATTTGAGTCCAGGGAGAACTACGAGCTTCACTCCATTCTGGAAGCTATGGGAATGGACGAGTTGTTCTCTGCAAGTGTTAATCTGGATGGTTTCAGTTCTGATCCCAGAGTGGATGTCTCAACTGTTCTACATGAGGCAGCAGTGGTTATCAATGAAGATGGTAAAGTTGAATCTAAACATATATCAAGGAAGGATATTTATATTTGAAAACTCCTTTTATTAAAGAGAACCTTTGCACAATTAGAATTCCCCTTTCCACTTACTGTACTCCTGGTATTTTTTTGCGTGCGATTTAGTTTCGCACTTTTCGTGATTGTGGTAAAATCCCAAAAATTTAATCTTCGCGAAATCGTCAATTAAATCCCAGGGATTTGTGAAATTTTTTATTACTTGTGACTTCATTGCATTTCATGTTTTGTAAAATGTTTGTCAAGTGTTTTTTGGCGATAAATGGGATACAAAGTCATAATGTCTGTTACAATGGCTTTATAGATCTAATAAACCAAAAATTATGATGTAATAGAGGTTAAGGTACAGCGTGTCGTTGACCATGACATACTAGTAGGTGTACTTAGTGAAGTTCACAAAATTTAATAGCTGCGGAATCTTGTTTTCTCAAAATACACGAAATTGAATCTCGCAAAATTAAACGGTGGTACAGTATTTGTTGACTTTATCAGTGTTAACACACTTTTTGGTAACATTACATACATTCTGTTGAGCTGTACAGTGTATTTACTCTTCAATAGAATACTATGCATGAGGGTCAATCAATAATTTTCCTATAAATTTGTATACATTTTGTCTCACCAATATTTGGAGACATGTAGTGATGTAGTGAAATTGAAAAGCGTTACATGAACACAGCCAACCAACAAATATCTGAAAGAATTAAATGACTGTGATCGATCTGTGAAATGTTCCTATCACCCATTTGTATATGGATTTTGGGGTGGATTTTATATGAAGCATGTTCTAAAATTTACTGCATAATGTCATTTACTACAAGGCATTAAGAGGCAAAATGTTACTACCTGCCATTTGTTACAGATGTAGAATGCTGTCCTCCAAATGCAATATACTGTCCACAAAAATTTTGAGACTTTAACAATACTGTAACACCACCACTTGTGGTGACATAAAATTGTATTTGTGTCACAAAGTTAAAGGTGTCAAATGTGTTGTTTTGTCAATAATGTATAATGTGCTACATCTGACTACAGGTACCGAGGCTTCTGCAGTTACTAACGTAATAGGAGGGAGATCAGGTTATATCCCTGATCCTGCAACTGTCAAATGTGACCGACCATTCCTGTTCCTCATCAGGGAGGTGAAAGAGGAAGTGGATGGATGGGCAATGAAAACTATTCCTGGACCAATTTTATTCTTTGGGAAGGTTTCCCATCCAAAGGAGGTGCAGAAGGCTGTATGCAATGGTAACACAATTATTTGACAATTATACCCGGTTGTACTTATTCATGTAATTCTGTGTTGGATCAATGACCATTAAGTGCTAATTGAGAAATTTAAGACCTTGTGAAACATGAAATGCTAAAAAACAACTAACTAGACATTAATATGCAAAATGTCACTACATGCCATTTGTTACAGACACCAAAGACCAAATGCCAGACCATGACCATCACCCACCAAACACCAAATACTGACCACCATCCACAAAAATATTGGGACTATATAACAATATTTCACCTTTGACATAATAGAAGTTCAATTATAATTTCTTAAAATATACAGTCAATTTCAACCATCCTCGATCACCATGATTAACTTTAATAATTAATAATGCCTCATATATTTACATAGGAGGAAATCTAGACAAATGCAGAGATAAATGTAGGATTAAATGCTTTGAAGCAAATAAGAAGCGAACGGACAAAGCCAACAAGGCCAGGAATGGGAAATGCCCCACTTGGGTAGGCTTAATGAAAGCTTACAAAAAATGCAAGATCGATTGTCGCGTGAAGGAGTGTACAAATAAATGTTGAAACGATTTTTTGCAAATCACATGTGATGTATCTAAAATTGAAAATAAAAAACAGCATCCAACTAACACATGCCTGCATGTTGAACCAATCTATAAAACAGAACTTCGATATTACAAATCTATTTAAGAATCATTTGACCAACTTTACAAATATCTCACTTGTATTGAAGCAAATACTTCTTTGTTACCTTTTAGGATTTATAGAATATTTCTACATGTAATTGTAAAGATATACAGGTTCAATAAAAATATAGAATGAAATAGTTGTTCTATTATATTACTTAATCACTCTTACTTAATCACCAGCATAATCATTGAATAAATTCTATAACTGGCATCTGATTGACTTCAGCTTGTAATATTTTATGTACAAAGACATAAATCCTTGAAGAAGGTCTGACATTTTAACACAATGCCCTTTACAAAGAACCAAATCATTTCCATGGTCAACTAGTAAAACAGCAACTCCACGGAATAGCAAATCCCACTGAACAAAACATATTTTGATTATTAGTGGACTGGCCATCTTCAAAATTCCTTCTTGAGCAGAGCTTGTTTGTCCTTAGGGATCAACATATAAAATTTCAACCATATCCGTCAATTAGCATTTGAGTATCAAAGATTACATTCCTTTTTTTACAAAAAATGGTAGCCATTTTGGAATTCGGCAGCTGCCATTTTAAAAAGCTTTCTCGAACAGAACTTCTGTGTCCCAGGCATCGCCTGCATATAAAATTTGATCCAAATCCATTCATTGGTAATGGAGTTATCAAAGATTACGTTTTCTTCCATTCTGATATTCAAAACCATTTTAAAAATCTCTTCTTCAGCGTAGCTCCTTGTCCTTAGGCATCAGCATATAAAATTTGAACCAAATCCATCAACTATAAGTTATCAATATGGTGGCCATTTTGAAATTCAGCCCCCATCTTGAAAATTCTTTCTTCAACAAATCTAACTTTGTCCCTAGGCATCATCATATAAAATTTGAACAAAATCCGTTCACTGGTATTTGAGTTATCAATGATTACATTTTTCTGAAAAATAGTTGCCATTTTATAGCAGCCATTTTGAAAATCTCTTCTACAGCGTACCTCCTTTGTCCCTTGGCATCAACGTAAAAAATTTGAACCAAATCCGTGAACTGGTATTTGAGTTATCAAAGATTACATTTTTTACATAAAATGGCAGCCATTTTGAATTGAGCGGCCATATTGAAAATTCCTTCTTCAGCGAAGCTCCTTTGTCCCTAGGCATCAGCATATGAATCAGATCCATCAACTAGTATTTGAGTTATCAAAGATTACTGTTTTTATAAAAAATGGCAGCCATTTTGAAATTCAGCTGCCATCTTGAAAACTCTCTCTCGAAGAAATCTACTTTGTCCCTAGGCATCATCATACAAAATTCAAACATATAGGCATATTTTTACACATTTTAATATGAGTATACTTACTTTGTTGAAAAGTGCTTGCAACACTTTGAACAGTGGTATATAGTGGGGCCATGGTTAGATTCTTTGTGGAGCTTAAGTCTGCTTTTCAATGTAAACTCCTTGTCTGGAAATTAAGAATTTTGCAAACATTAACAAGTACGAAGGTTGACCAGAGAACTGGGTTAAATATCAAATACGCAGCAGACTACCGACTTAATATTTATTAATAAGATGTAGAAACAAGCTTTTTAAGTATTTCAAGGCAATTGCTACAATATCATAAACCTAATAGTTTTACAAGTAATTGCAAGTTTACATTTATCTATTACATGGTAGTAAACATACAGACCTAGAGTAATATCTGGATATTAATGGAGTGGAACAGAATTACTATATATTAAGCTATAAAGGGTTTATTTCAAAAGCTTTGTACTTTAAAATAAAAATTCATTTTGCTGAATGAGTTGAACTAATTCCAGTCATTGTCAAATTTCCTAATTAAAAATCCCCGGTATTAATTTAGGTTAAAGTACACACAATTCAATATGGCAGCTTGTAGCTATTTACTTTCATATGATGTCCATTTCTGACTAATTGATAACATCTGGCGAGGCACTTCTAGCGCAGGGTTGACCGAAAGACATATTTTTAATGCATCATGCACACTTTAAAAAAATACCAATTTCCAGGGTAGTCATCTAACCCTTGATGGACTCAACCCTTAGTCAACTGAACCAATATAACCTTTGACCTCGGGTTGCTATTACCTCTGTTGAGTTGACTTGGGGTTGAGATGACCAGGTGTCAATTCAAAGCATTGACTGCTATTTCCCACCTATTGAACCAAAATTGATTTTGAGTTAAATCTTATATGACTTACCACATTGATCACATGCAACCAATCCCTTCATGGAATGCCACTTGTAATGTGACCTGAACGTTGCCAATTGACTAAATGATTTTGAGTTAAATCTTATATGACTTACCACATTGATCACATGCAACCAATCCCTTCATGGAATGCCACTTGTAATGTGACCTGAACGTTGCCAATTGACTAAATGATTTTGAGTTAAATCTTATATGACTTACCACATTGATCACATGCAACCAATCCCTTCATGGAATGCCACTTGTAATGTGACCTGAACGTTGCCAATTGACTAAATGATTTTGAGTTAAATCTTATATGACTTACCACATTGATCACATGCAACCAATCCCTTCATGGAATGCCACTTGTAATGTGACCTGAACGTTGCCAATTGACTAAATGATTTTGAGTTAAATCTTATATGACTTACCACATTGATCACATGCAACCAATCCCTTCATGGAATGCCACTTGTAATGTGACCTGAACGTTGCCAATTGACTAAATGATTTTGAGTTAAATCTTATATTATTATGAGCTTTATTATACTTGTATCCCACATTTGGGCAAAGTGTACAGCTTAAACAGAAAAAAAATGAAAAAGCTTATCTAATTATCTATATAGTACTATTTTAACTAATCAAAGGGTGCTTGATCATTACAAGATTTTATTGGATGCATTTCGTGTTTTTTCTCTCTCGATAAAAATATTAGATATATATTTTGCTAGTATATTTAATATTATTCCCTCTGAATTAAATAGAAACATTAATTTATGTTCCACGTTATTCATGTTTTCTAAATTTTGACAGTGTTTTTTTATTTTATCCATGTAACTTGACCGAACATCTTTTAACTTATTGCATTCTAATAGGTAATGACATTCTGAACCAGTTTTCTTGTTACACATTAAACATTTTCTTTCTTCAATAGGGGTAATTGGTTTTGTGTAACGACCTGTTTCGATTTCTAATTTATGTGCGCTAATTCTTAGCTTTGTCAAGTTATTTCTGTCTATTTCATTTTTGATTAAATCCAAGTAGGGTTCCTTGTTCCATTTTGCTTTTATTATCTTATAAAACCTCAATTTACCATTATTTGATTTTATTTTAGTTTCCCAAAATTGTATGTATCTATTTTCCAGTAATTTCTTAATTTCTCTTGGTTTTAAGTTTAAATAGTTTGGTGAAGTACCATTGTAAATATATTTAAGTACATCATTGATGTGCGTGAGCCATGATTGTTTATTCATATCTGTCAGTTGTTTATTTACCTCAAGGGCTTCACGTAGAAGCGAGTCGGTTCCTTTATTGTTAATATGATTAAGATATTTCATTTGTTGATAAAACAAAGAAATAAATAGTGGAAACCTACCTAAATCGCCTCATGTAGCGTCATTACTGGCCTTTCTGTTAACACCGAGTATCGATTTCATAAATGATATATGAAGAGATTCAAATGTTATTCCATCATATCCCTTTTCTAATGCCCATTGTGGGTCTTTTTTAATTTTACTCGAGTTTAAGATACCCGTACCCCATATATCAGATCCATAGAGGCATATGGGCTTTATGAGTTGATCAAATAGTTTTAAGCATAGTGATGGTTTCATATTACCATTAGAAATTAGACTTAATAATTTAAATTTTGCCTTTTCAGCTTTGTCTTTGATATGCTGGGCTGCAGGTCTCATTGACCCACTTATGCTTAATTCCATTCCCAGGTAAATGTATCGTGAAACAGATTCTATTTTGTAATTTCCTATAAAGAAGTGATTATCAATAAGTCTACCATTTTTATTCATTACCATAATTTTGGTTTTATCAGTGTTGATATTTAAGTGCCATTCTTCACAGTATTTTTCTAATTTGTCCAATTTGGTTTGCATTTCATCTTTTGAGGATGCGATAATTACTAAGTCATCAGCAAAAAGGAGGCTTCCAATTCGCTTATTATTTAATAATGGGTCTGTTTTGAGATCTAATGTTTTAATAATGTAATTTATATATATATATTAAATAGAAGAGGACTCAGGGGGTCCCCCTGTTTTATTCCCTTGTTACAGTCAAATTCATTGGTATGACTCACCACATTGATCACATGCAACCAATCCCTTCATGGAATGCCACTTGTAATGTGACCTGAACGTTGCCAATTGACTAAATGATTTTGAGTTAAATCTTATATGACTTACCACATTGATCACATGCAACCAATCCCTTCATGGAATGCCACTTGTAATGTGACCTGAACGTTGCCAATTGACTAAATGATTTTGAGTTAAATCTTATATGACTTACCACATTGATCACATGCAACCAATCCCTTCATGGAATGCCACTTGTAATGTGACCTGAACGTTGCCAATTGACTAAATGATTTTGGGCAGTCTGGACATTGGAAAGGAGGTCCTGTTGTAAGATTTAGAGGCATCACTCTAAATTTCGCTGTTTCCGAATGCCGGCTTTTAATATGGGCTTCTAAGTCACAGTTTGTTGAATATTTTTTATCACATTGCGTGCAACTGAACACATTCCCGGTGTGATATCTCATATGTTTATTCAGTGCTGAGATTGATGAGTATTGCTTATTGCATTGATCACAAAATAGCATACAATGGCCTTTCCTATGTTTTTCAAACTCACTGAGATCACTGAATGTTTGTGGACACTCCTCACAATTATAAGGAGGTCCCCAAATAATAGATTTTTCTCCTGCATGTTTTACTTTAACATGTTTCAACAGTTCCCAATTAGACTTAAATTGTTTCGCACATAATTCACATGAGGGAAATACTCCTCTGACATTATCACCACTGTGTCTTGACATAATATGTCCTTTGAGATCCACATTTGTAATAAATCCCTTTCCACAGAATTCACACATGAACAGATTCCCTGTATGACGTCTAAAATGTTTATTAAGTGCTCCTTGTGTTTGATACTGTCTATCACATTCTGTACACTTGTACACTCTTTGATCTTTGTCTCCAATTCCATGGGACCGCATATGCTGTTTTAGATCCGAATTTCCAGTATACACTTTTCCACAAGTTTCACACATTACAAGCTCTCCAGTGTGGTATTTAAAATGTTTATTTAGACCTGATTTTGTTTGATATACTTTACCACACTCTTTACAGAGGTGTTTTTCTGTTTTATCCTTTTCCTGTAATTTGTAATTGTAATCAGCTACTTCATCATTATCAACTGTATCATCACCACTGTTGTCATCATTAGTTGATCTCTCTTCATCATCATCATCATCATCATCATCATCTCCTGTATCCTCATCAACAACTGTTACTCTTCTTGCATCTGATGTTGCATTGTTAGTGATGTCATCTTTTAAGAAGGGATTTTCATTTGTTTCTGTTTTATTCACATCATCTCCAGGGCTCTTCAATTGATTACTAAGTTCATCCCCTTTCATAGTTTCATGAGTGGTAATATTACAAGTATGGATTCTACGATGCTCAGACAATTCTGACTTTGTATCATATCTTTTGTTACACTCTTTACAAATGTATACTACTTCTTGGTTTCTTCGAGCTCTATTTTCTTTTGAATTTACATGTGCTGACAAGATATGTTGCTGGAGATCAGCTTTAGTGGTATAGGATTCATTGCATGTTTCACAGTTAAAGAGATTTCCAGTGTGGCGTCTGAAATGTTTATTCAGAGCTGATTTTGTACAATAACTTTTATAACATTCTTTACATGGGTATAGTCCTTTTCCTTTTTTGGTTTTGTGTTGCGACAAAGTGTGTTGCTTCAGATCTGATCTTGTAGTATAAGCCTTACCACAAGTTTTACATTTAAAAAGATCACCAGTATGCCGTCTAAAATGCTTATTAAGAGCTGATTTAGTTTGATACACTTTACCACATTCTTTACAGTGATATTTTTTCATTTTATCTGTTTCCTCAAGATTGTTTTCTTCACCAACTATTCCATCATTATCGACACTGTTGTTATCATTAACTCCCATATCATCATCAAAACATCTTTTCTCAACTGCTATTTCATCATCAACTGTTCTGTCATCATTATTTGTCCTATCATGATCATCTGTAATAGCTTCATCAACTAAAAAGTCATCAACATATGTTGCATCATTATCATCAACTTTCATGTCATAATCTAGACTCTCAATCCCCGCTTCATCATCAACTGTTCCATCATGATCAACTGTAACAGTATCATAAACTGGAAAGTCATTGTCAACAATTTTGTCATTATCAACTATTTTATCAAATGTTCCATCATTATCTTTCACATTTTCAGTGATGTTTTTAAAGAAGGGGTTTTCAAAAGTCATTTCTGTTTTAACCATGTCATCATTGAGATCCTCGATGTCCACAAATTCATTATAGTTTTCACATTGTTTATCAATGTTTTCATCCTGGCTTAGATATTCCCGTTTGAAAATACACATCTCATCAGACTGATTGACAACTCTGTTGTGTTTCTTTGCATTTTCAATCAACCTAGAGATACCATTTTCAATATATTCTAAGCGTGACAGTCTTTCTTTTCTCAGATTACTGGACTCCAATGATTGGGAAGAGCATTCAAAATGCTCAGTAGTATAAGACCCCGGATGCTCTGTTATACAAACAACCATACTCATTCCCACAGTGTGACTTTCCATGAATGTCTCTTCGAATCGTTTTTGGGTGCTTTCGAAAATTTCTCTGATGAAATCTGTAACCCTCATCATTGTCTCCATTTTCTCACTGAAAAATGAAACATTGTATTTAGATAGCACACTGAAAATGATCTGGGATGAATACTAATGCCAATTTGATCAATTAAAAAAATAACAGTGTCCATTTACTGTCAATAGGAAGACCTTTTAAGGTCAAGGGGTCAACATGATCACATAGGAAGTATGGATGAACAGAACAAAGGCCTGCATGAAGCTCCAGTCTCTTGATTTCTTCTTAATCTTATTCGAAGGTATTTGGCCACAGAATCATGCGGTACTAACTATGACTGTTAATTTGAATTTTTGACCTACTAAAACTTGATCCATTCAAAGCAAAAAAAATTGCCGCTCTATCAGAACATTACTTTATTTTAAAGAGTGCCTCGTTTTAGCATTGTTTTTGGTGCTAAAACAGCTGGGGACCAAAATACCGCTGGAAGTAGGGACTCTGTAGAACAGAATATACCAACGGAAAGGCATTTTTGTTATGCTTTGAATGGAACAAGTTTGAAGAAAAACGGTGCAGTATGAGACTTGCAATCCTTGATTTTCAAACATCTGATAGGTCAGAAATTCAAATTAACGGTCGAAGTTAGTATGGCGTGAGAATATAGCCAAAACATTTGTAGAACGTATTTAGTATAGTTTAACAATAAGTAATCCTAAAATTAAATGAAACAAGTACAGTGTTTTTACAAAATGTGACATAGTACATAGCACAAAGGATACAGACATATAACAATGGACCAATACATACAAAATGGAGCTGTCATTTCGGTTGATTTTATTCCAAGGTCGGACTTCATATTTTCAGAATGAAACAATCAGATTTGATGGACCTTTCCATAAGTCAAAATAGCATAATTTTGGACTCTTCCCTAAACAGGAAGGTAAAAAATCACAGACACTTTGGATGAGATTGTCACACATTCTTTGAAACATACCAAGCACAGATTGGAGTCATCATTCTTCGAAGGATTTTAGGCCTAATTATCGCACATCACAACAATTTTGGAACTAATATTTATATCTACAGAAATTAAGAAGCATCTAAGAATTCTAAGGTACGTAAAACCATGGGCTTTCGTCTATTGAATGCCCATGTTTAATCTAAATCTTTTTGAAATATTACCAAAAAAGGGAAGCATGGCACCGCCCATTTTGAAGTTCTCATGTAATAACACAGAGTTGCATACCCTTCTATTGAATGCCCATGGTAAAACTAGATGAATAACTGAGGTATATGTAATAGTGATAAATAGCCCAACGAGAGTCGGTGGTCTTGAAATAAACTTGAATCTTGTATCCAATCCTAAGCTTAAAGGCTTGTTGATACTAGGCCTACCCTTCGCAAATGATGACTCAAATCCATGATACCAAGTGTACATGTTGTTCTTTAAAAGATGCGACATAGTAAAAATTAGATCAACGTCGTTAAACTCAATAACAGTGTCTTTACTATTAGGAATTTTCTTGGCCGTCATTGGGTTTAACCTCCTTACTATTCTTTCCTTTATTGCAAGTTCTGGATCCATCAAAACCATTTTTCCGTCATTGTGTCTGTTTGTCTGGGTGTCCCGGGTTAAAATTAAACTATTAGCGAAACGAGGTTGTTGTCAAATAGATTTTTGATAATCATTATCGCGATTACTCAGGACATGGGCTTTCAATTAGAAGGGTATGCAACTCTGTGTAATAACATGAGACCTTAAAAATGAGCAATGCCATGCTTCCCTTTTATGGTAATATAAGTATTAGATAAATGTATGTTTTAGTATTATTATTTGAATAAAAATCATGTTTTTATTTTTGAGTTATTTCTTTAAATCATCAATAAAAAGTACAAAATAAGATTTTCTTGGAATGTGTACATGAGTTATTTCTTTAAATCATCTATAAAAAGGCAAAATGCAATTTTCTTGGAATGTGTAGAAAAAGTAGACAGAAAATAACATGTGCAGGTATAGCAATTTTTTACCAAAATGTTAACTTTCCAGCTGAACCTTATTAGTTCCACTTGTCGAAACCTGCGCAGCGATTAAATTAACGCATCAAAGGCAAAATTATCATGGAGGTTAGACCTAGCCGGGGGCCACAAGACATGTCAGATAAGAAACGAGGCCCAGGCTAGAGTCCATTTCACTGCTTCATTTCGTCAGTTGAACGGCAAAAATAAGAAATTGGGAGACCATTGTGCAATAATATATGGAAAAGTATATTCATAATGTACATGAATGACATTTGTTTATTTCAGATTTTTTAGTTTTTTGTGCAATAAGCCTGTGCCGTCTTGTAATTTGAAGAATTTCAGCCATGTTAATCTTATTGAAAATAACATGGCAGAGAAACATCCAAATATAAGAGGCCACACACTTTATAAGCCAAACTAGAAGCAATCCAAGATATACAAATGTCATTCATGTACATTGTGAATATACTTTTCCATATATTATGGCACAATGGTCTCCCAATTTCTTATTTTTGCCGTTCTACTGACGAAATGAAGCAGTGAAATGGACTCTAGGTCTAATCATGGGCTGTCAACGGATTTGAATGCAGGTCTTATACATGTATGTTGAGCGAATATGTTTTGCGAAGTCTTTGTTTTGAGATGATATTCACTGTGGTGCCTAGGAGGAAAATATCATTAGGTTTCGAAGGAATGTGATTTGGAAATTGATGATTGACAACAACCTGATTCCTGAAATTCATGCAAAAAGTGAAAGTAAAGATCTAGACTCACTAGAGTTCTTGTTTCATAGACTGATCTGATTGTTATTATACATACCAAGGTAAAGTTGATCTTTTGTATGCAAATCCTATCACTATATTTTTCAAGTCGTTATCCGTGTACTGTAGAATAATGTGAAGTCATCTGAGAAGAGCAGAAGCACTTTTTAGATTTTCAACACTTCCGGTTTAACTCTTCAAATCTGGAGGTACAAAATACTTGAAAAACGAAATGAAATTTCCGTGTCGAAAAAAACGATTTTAACTATGAAGTAAGTGCATTTTTAACTAAATCTTTAGTCATTTGACACATTGAAATATTTTTTATTGTTATTGTTATTTTCGGGTGACGCTTTTCAGGCCCGTAGCCAGGATTTGCCAAGGGGAGTTCACTTTTTGAAAAATTCCAGGGGGGTTCACTTTTGACAATTTTGGTCTAAAAATGGCGAAATCACTCAGAATAAGAGGAGGAAAAACCCATGATTCAATTGATGACATACGATTTCCTCCTTCGCGCACCTCCTTTTGTCGAAAACGTATACCCTTCATCTTGGTTTTCAAAGTTTTCAAATTGACCTAGTTTTAACCAATCAACGATCGACTCGCTAAACCAATCAGCGACGATGTCATCTCAATACAGATTTACATTATAAGCGTATATCATCTTTGAACCCTGGGGTTTCTCCCCCTCTTACTCAGAATGATGTAAAACTGCATGATTTTGAAATAATTTTTGGTCCAGGGGGGTTCGCTCAAACCCATTGAACCCCCCCCCCCTGGCTACGGGCCTGCTTTTGGATATCAACTTGTCACAGGAAGTTGTATCAAATCGTTTAGGCCTCACACAACCAAATGATTGTAACATGCGCATTCCTTACTTAGTTTGCACAAAGCTATCTCTTGGGAGATAGCTTTGCATATCTTGAGATACCAAGTCCATGTAAAGGTCTTTTACAGAAATCGCAAGAAATCGTTGGAACACTTACACTACTTCTATCGATGTATAACATCATAAAATATTGGTTTAATATTCTCAGAACGCTAGCTGGAGTCGGGAGACAGTGTAATCGACGAAAAATGTATTTGGAACTTGTTATTTCCATGTCGTCCTGACCAGGAAGTCTTGCCAATGCGCATGCGTGAAACCGGAAGCGGTAATCTCATGGCATGGAGGCACATGCGCATTACCAAACTTCCCGAGAAGCCATCTTGGAAATTATCGACTCTTCAACATTTTTTGTCAATTATACGCTGTCTTCCAACTCCGGATAGCCCAATATGGTTATAGAAAAACTTTATTTTAGAATGTTATGCATCGATTGAAGTAGTAAATGTTTCCGAGATTTCTTACATATTTCGAAAAGACCTATATGAAGGACTGGGAATATCAAGTTTTGCATAGCCATCTATCGAAAAGATGGCTATGTGCAAATATAGTAACGTATTCCCATCTAAATGATTTGTCTCTCAAAGAAAACTAAGATTTGTGGACATGTTTTTGTGTCCTCTGTCAGTCAAAAAAGTTTGAACCAAAATTCCCCACGAAAATCAGATCTCACCTGTTGAATACGCCATCCTTAGAAAATGTTAAGAATTGTCACTCTGATTTTGACAGATGGAGGCAGGTCAAAAAGGTCAAATTTTTTAAAGAAAATACACCTCAATCACATCAAATCATGTGTTAGAGTTGGTCCATACATCCACTTTTTCATTCATGTACTTTGTAACCAAAATCCAACCACTGGTGATGCTAATATAATTACAATAATTGGACTATATTCTTTTAAAATGCCATCTATTCCCACTTGGCGGAAGGATCAATAAGTTTTGTATCCCCTTAGTTTTTGGTGGGTGGTACTGAACACAGCTGGCTCAAAAGACTTCTGTCAGCTCGGTAAAGTGGGGGGAGGGGGGTTGACTGTATTCTAAATTGGGCAGAATCACTATACCAAGAGTGAAGACCGACTGGCAAAACACTTGACTTGATTTAACTCCCTATAGGATGGTTTGGGGTTGTTTTGCCTTTTTCTTATTTTTGACATTTAGTGATAGCAAACTCCAAATTAATATTGATACTACCCATTGTAGCACCAGTCGCGGATCATGATTTTGTGTTACGAGGGGGGGACACTTGGTAAAGGCTGTTGGAAGCTAGCCATGACAAGTGAGTGTAGCGAACTAGGGCCAGAATAGGGGGATCTGGGGTTCTCCCAGAGCTGTCAAGTGTCCCGCGAATGGCGGGATTATCCCGCGAATTTGATCAAAATTTGGCTAATTTGTGTGTCCCGCAATGTCCCGCAAAGTCCCGCAAATGTCGGCTTTTACCTCCGTGAATTTTTCAAAATTGTAACAATCCCCAAGGCTAAATAATTGTGATTATCTTGTGATATAAGCTAAGTTTTTTGCGCTTTTGAGGAGTAAAGTTTACCTAATTTGAAAAGTGCTGCCATGTCCCAGTGCATCAGATCATCGAAGACTGCTTTTGGAAAGAGCATATAGTCCATTTATAAAACTGTGATTTTGATCCAAATAACACCATAGTTGACTTCTCAAGTACCTAGTATGCCATTTTGGTATCAAAATAAAGAGGAAGAGTGCAATTTTCATTTTAATTACGAAAATAGGGATGTATGTCACGAATAGTTCCAACGTTGGCCTTTTAACTACGCGTGTCATGGCCTTCATCTCAGAACTGAGCAAATGTTAGCAAACGCGAGTTCCAATAAATGGACACTGATATCTCGAAAAGAAACCTGACTCCCTATAATTTGATGTAGATTAATCGAACCCCTATATGAATAGGTACATTTTAATATATAACACTATGGGGGTAAATGTTTCATAGTTGGTCACAAATGCCATAAGTGCAAAGTATTGTTCAGAATTTTTGAATTTTGTGTTGGATTACGGTACTCACACCTAAAGTGTGGTTTTTTGATAGTTTAATAATATTTATATGCGTATTGTGTGGAATTGTGTTGATGTTTACTTAAGTTAAGTGCATTATATTTGATAAATCAGTATCTGAAAGTTTGATTTGAGTACTTTTACATTAAGCCCCAATCACGCAAATCCCCCTGCGACATCCCGCAAATTTAGGTTGATGTCCCGCAAAATCCCGCGAATTTAGGGCACTTTGTCTAAAAAAATCTGTCCTCCTATGAAGTCTTTGGTGGTAACCCTGTTAACTGTCCCGCAATTAGCGTGTTTGTCCCTCAAATGGTCCCGCGAAATCCCGCGAATTTAGGTGGATGTCCCACAAAATCCTGCAAATTTTTGGCACTGGGTCTAAAAAATCTGTCCCGCGAGAAAATCTTTGGGGGTTGACAGTACTGTTGAAGTTCTCCCCACAGAAAATTTCGAAAATTGAACATCATTTGGTGCATTATAAGCAATTTCAGGTGTGATGGTTCTTTAGACATACTCATATTCATAAGCATTAGTTGGGGTACATGTACAGTTATTTTAATATTCTCAATTTAAAATTGAGCCCATGATGGGTAGTTGGGTACCAGAGCAGAATGATGGATGATGGGTACCAAATGAAGGCCTTTTACAACATATTAAATTACACCATTGGCCCTAATTATATACAAAGGTCTTCATTCTACTTGTACATGTATTTGAATTTTGTATATTTTCAGAGTGGAAGAAGCCAAAAAGAAATTTGAAGCTGGACTAACCAAATAAACAATTATAGCAGCTACAGACCTACAAAGATGGGGGAAATTAAGATCAAGCAGCACATACAGGAGTTGGAAAAACATATGCTGAAGTCTTGGAAAATGACTTTCAGTTCTGTTGCAGACATTGAGTTTAACACTATGTTCATGTTGTCTAGTAAAGTACTCAATAAAACACAGTCATACCATGTCTCCCCATCTGGTTTGAACAAAGACAGCTGGGATTCCATCCGACAGTTAGTACAATTCAGCGATGAAAGACTGAAGAAAATCGTTCAAACAGATGACTCTTCAAGAGAAGAAATTGTTGAATCTAATAGTCTATTAACCAGCAGTCATCCAGTTGTATCACAGGCAATAGCAATTGATAACAGCCCAGAATTGGCAAAAGGTGGGGAACAGATACCGGAACTGTTGGAATGTGAATCACAGAACTATGAATCTTCAAAATGTAAGTTATCTTTTTCTTTTTTTTTTATTTCAAAGAAAAAGCATGTTAAAGTAATCTTTTTCTTGATTGTTGGGAAGTATATGTGTTTCTAGAGATAAGAGTGATAGTATTTTAATCAAAATGTTGAGATTTTTATCAATATTCAATATTGCTTTCATGAATAGAAAAATTAAAAGCATAACAAATTTTTTGAAGTTAAACTCCATTTAGAATACCAATTTTCAATAATAGTTGCTGGATAATTTTTAAAGAACCTCTCATTTGAGAAAATTATTGATTAGTACGTATGTGAAAATGGCAGGGAAATGTCCAACATATAAAATCAGTGACTACAGTACATATAGATACACAAATGTGAAGAGAGATCAGCTAGATCACTACCTACATTTACCAAGAAATGGGTCTTTATCAATTATGTATCAAAAATCAACCATTATAATGATAACTTACTGTACTTTAGAGGAACTTCAGAAGTTGAATACAAGAACTTCTCAGCAAAGAGAAAGTGATTATGTCATTACCACTTAATCAAAGACAAATTGTTATTGTTTCCAACTTTTTTTGTGACGATGTCAGGTGGTTGATGTTTGGAGCTTGTCATTTGGCTTCTGTTAAAAATGGCAGGTGCTGACATTTTGTATGTTAATGCATTGTTTTTTATTACATAAATATATATATATATAAATTGTGATAAGTTTATTCACAATTTTGATAAATTATAATTTTTCCTCAATTTTTGCATTCTTGAATTGATCAATATTATTATTTCAGACAATTATGATATCAGACTGTCACTTGAGGACAATGAAGATGAAGAAGATGCACATGATGATGGCCTAGGTCACAACACAGCAATTAATACACCATCAAATGATAATGAAATAAGATTCGAAATGGAAACCATTGATGATGATAATACTGAAAATATAGTGAGACACCAACAGGAGGAGCCGAGCGATAAAAATGAAAAGCAAACTTCTTCATTCTCTTTGAATCAGTATTTACAGATTAATGAACCTGAAATACAAAAAGAAAAGAAAACAATT